ATTTTTTCAGAATACTTTAAAATACACAATCAAGGTTTCTATTATAAAAGTCCAAAATTTTTTTACTGCATAAAAAAAGGATTTCTTCCTATTTTAGAATGTCTATGAAATAATGAAGGAAAAAAAGAAAAGGAAAAGTAGGGTATAGAGAGATATAGCTCCACTGATAGATCACTTGCCTAGCATGCAATTCTGTATTCAATATTCAGGACAGCCTAAAACCAGGCATGATGACATATAACTAATCCAAACATTCACATAATGAATGCTTATAGGATTAGAAGTTCAGGTCATTATTGGATACAGCCTGGGCTACATGAGACTCTTTCAAAATAAATAAATGTTGGGCTTAATTTGCTGTTGTTTGGAGATAGGCTGCCAACAAACTCCTGCCACAAGCTCTCTCCCAAATCTGGGATTTACAGGTATAAGCCAGTCTACCTACCTAGCTTACTTACAATTTATTTTTATTTCATGCATGTGAAAGTTTTACCTTCATGTATGTCTGTGCATGTGTGTATGGTACACAGACACCAAAAGAGAGCATCACATCCCTCAGAACAGGAATAGCAGACAGCTGTTATCTACTATGTGGGTGCTGGGAATCAAACCCAGGTCCTCAGGAAGAATAGTCAATACTCTTAAACCCTGAGTCATCTCTCCAGCCCTTACTTAAGATTTTATGTGTTAGGGTTATACAGTAAGTTTTCTACTAAGATGAAAAAACAATGATTCTGTAAGTAATTTTGAGTATTTGATACCCCCTGCTCCCAGCATCCCAGATAAGATCTCACTATGTAGCCTTGAATTGATTCATCTGCCTCTGACTCACAAATGCTGGGATTAAAAGAGGGCATCATCACACATAGCATTTGGTTTTTAATTTCTACCCCATGGGGTTGTATAGATGACTCAACAGGTAAAAGCACTGGCTGCTCTTCCAAAAAACCCAGTTTGATTCTCAGTATCCACATGACAGCTCACAACAACCTATAACCCCAATTCCAGCAAGTCTGGTGCTGTCTTCTGGCACCAAGCACACATGAGGCACAAATGTAGTATAAATGTGGTACACATACATACATGCAGCCAAATTACTCATACACACAAAATAAAATGTTTAACAAAATAAAATTCTACTTCACTGAATGTGTCAAGTGCTGTTCCCCAAAAACAATTTATCCACTTGTAAACAAGAAGTCTATAGAATAAGAAGGTCTTGGCTCTAGCAATTCCATTAACAGTACTCATCTGACCTTCAGCAAGTTATTTAACCTCACTAGGCCTGTTTTCTTTCAGGAGAATTAAATGTGATAATGTGTATATAAAATACTCAACACGGTGGCTGGTACATGTTAGTCCTCAGCAAAAAAGCCTCTACAGCTAGGGTAAGGGCCTCTAACAAGGACTAAGAATATAAAAGTAGGCAAGCTAGGTATTCTAAAGGCACCTTGAATTACAAAGACACTGTCCCAACTAAAATGTAAAAAAAATCTATGTAAACCCTCAAAGAGGGTTAGAAGGAAAAATGATTAATTTCTGTTTTTATTGTTTCTTTTTGGTTTTAAGACAGGGTTTCTCTGTGTAGCTTTGGATGGAGCCTATCCTGGCACTTATTTGTAGACCAGGCTGATCTCAAATTCAGAGATCAGCCTGCCTCTGCCTCCGGAGTGCTGGGATTAAAGGCATGAGCCGCCACCACCACCACCACCCAGCAAAATGATTAATTTCTATACTCTGTACTTTGTCATTGGGATTTTTGTTTTGGAAACTGTCTCTCTATGTAGAGCTGGTTGTCCTGGATCTATGCAGATCAGGCTGGCCTTGAACTCATTCCCAAATGCTGGCATTAAAGAAGTGTGCCACCATGCCAGGCTCTGTAGTCTATTTTAACTTGTGTTTATAATACCTTTAAAATGTTTTTAATTGATCTATATACTGAGGGACTTCTTGGTGTCCAATGTAATGCATCACCCAAAAAGAAAGAAAAAAGAAAAAAGAAAAAAGCCCTGCCACTAACTAAATCTGTAAAGGAGTTAAGTCATGCCCTAATAATATCACAAAGAAATACACAAGCTATCAGATTTCATGAGTGTGTATAAGGTGTTCTTAACTGGCTTTCCCAATAGCCAAAATGGTGAAACACCATAATCCAATGATTTTGTCTCAGGGGATTTCTAGCAATAGATGCATTTCTCACTATCACAAATGAGGGGATGTACTACTGGTATCTAGTGGGTACAGAACAGGAATGCTGTAACCTTTACTATACAGGTAAACCACTGCCCTAAAAGCACCACCGACAAGAAATTCTGTAACCCAGGGTACCAATCTGCTAAACTAATGGAGAACAAAATTCTTCATTACAGGATAGAATTCTTCCAGGTAATGAATCAAAATCTTTTATCACTGGCAGACTAGAGTTCAACAAATGCAGTCACTGTTCTAAGGTTCTGAATTTCTAGTACTGAGAACATTTAACAGGTTTGTGTTACCTACTCAGTTCATTCTAATATTTTCAAAGCATTTATTATCAAACCTTATACAAGTTCACTGATTTCAAGAGATGACATTTTACCATTCTTTACTGTTTTCAAATGATACTGGAAACCCATTTAAAAACTGCTGCTAAGGTAAAGCATCTCGATAAGTGCCTTTATTTTCAGGTGCTTGTCAAGTCTTCCCAAATAAATTTAATATTTTCTTTCACATTTCAATTAACAAAGGTACCATACACTTTGAACAAATTAATTAAAATCCCTAAAAAAAAAAAACTACTATTATATTGTCTCTGATTAAGAAAGCAAAATAATTTACTTGGCAATTTAAAAACTTTATAAGAAAGCATGAAAAGTTAATCATTTTCTAGTCTCTCACTGTGTATTTTAGGATACTGCATACCCCCACCCAAAAAAAAAAAAAAAAAAAAAAAAATCAACCATTGGTTTTAAAAACCAAACCTTTGAAGAATGTTTTGTCTATTATTTCTGTGAAGAGTAAAAAGAATCACAAGTCAGGTATGGTGACAAGGATTCCAAACCAAACCCCAGCGTTTATGAGACAAGGATGCAGATAGATCAGCGGAGTTCCAGGACAGCCAAGGGTTCCATAGAGTAACAACTTTAAAAAATAAATAAATAAACAAAAAAAGCCTGTGTTCACAAATAGGGATTAGTTTTGGTTAGATTTGGTTTTTCGAGACAGGGTTTCTCTGTGTAGCCCTGGCTATCCTGGAACTGGGTCTATAGACCGGTCTGGCCTAGACAGAACTCAAAAAGACCCACCTGCTTCTGCTTCCTGAGTGCTGGGATTAAAAGCAAGTGTCTCCACTGCCCGGCAGAATAGATTTTTTTTTTTAACGTAGTAGTACTGTTAAAATCTTTTGCATATCACATCCATTATGTAAGACTTCTGTTTTAGTATTTAGTACTTACTGTTACTTAATAATTTGCTACATAATAAAAATGTATTCGGATAAAGTTGGGTTTTTTGTTTTGGTTTTTTTTTTTTGTTTGTTTTTTAATGTTTTTTTGTTTGTTGTTTTTTGAGACAGGGTTTCTCTACACAGCCCCCGACTGTTCTGCAACTCAGACCAGGCCAGTCTCATACTCAGAGACTGCCTGCCTCTGGAGACAAAATCTTTATTCCTTCTCCCAAAACAAAATTAAAGGAGGAAAAGACCACAGTAAAAGGATATTTTTAAGTAAGATGAAATAAATTTCACTTCTTTAGAACATAGTACTTCTGATGGGTACAGCTTTTCCGTTCACTTCAAATTACTGTCCCGTCTAGAATTTTAATACTTGTCCAAACCTGCTAGCTCATGATCTAATAATAAACATAATTATACAATCTGTAACTGCCCTTGTCGATCTTTTCCTTAAGAAGCCATAAAGGTGACTTAACTGACACCTCAAAGTCACAGAAATCTACTTCATTTTTCTTCATTTCCAGCTTTCAGCGCTTCGCCGGGGCTACAGGTTGAGGAGGGGTAAGATCGCCTGAACCAAGCAAGGCACTCGCTTGGCGTTGGACAGCAGGGTAACTACCGGTTCATTTCTCTTTAAATCTGGCAGCACGTGGGGCGGCATTGTGAAGCCACCAACCCGCCTCCTCCCTCCCCCCTCCTTCCACTCCGCACACGTACGCCTCCAGCGCGCATGCTCCGCTCACACAGTCCTAGCAGAGTAGGAGCCAACCCCCTAAAAAGTCAACCTGGAAGCCGCAAACGGCCGGAGGCCGGGACAATGGGGGAGGGGGACAGAGATTCCACGGGGGAGGCACTTAGCCGCCGCCCCTGGCCAGAACCTAAGGCGGGCCACAGCCCAGTGGCTGCGGGCCTGCGCGGGAGCCGGAGCCCCGCCGAGCACAAAGCCCCGGCCGGCCAGCGAGCGGCTCTCCTCAGCGCCCGCGCCCACCCTCCCCCAGACGGGCGGCGCAGCCCGAGCTCGTGCCAGGCGGAGGCAGGCGAAGCGGAGCCGCGCGTCCCGCCGAGCCCTCGGCGCCCCGCGCCGGCACCCAGGCCGGCCCGGCCGTCGCTTTTGTTGTCTGCCCTAACTCCGCGGACCCCGCGCTGCCGAGCCAGAAGTTTGGCGCGCCTCCCCTATCCGGCCCCAGCCACGGCTCGGACTCGCAGTCGCGCGGGACCCGCACGCTCCCGGAGTCCCTGAGGTCCCGCGGCCTCCGCCGCACCTGAGCCCGGGATCCGCCCCTCAGGGAGGGTCGGCCGGGCCGGGACCCACGCCCCTCCCCCGCAACGCCCCAGCTCCGTGGGGGAGGGGGCAGCCGCCTTGGGCGCCCGGCCCGTCCGAGGGCGAGGCTGGGGCGCGTCCCCGCCCCCAACACCCTCCACAGCCCGGTCAGAAGTGTCGCCGGCCGGCCGAGACCCGCGGACTCCCACCCTCGCGGCCCGCGGCCCTCCACCACCCAGCCTCCGAGCGGGCGACAGGAGGCGAGTGGCTCGTCAGTCCGCGATCGCGGCCCGACGCCCCGCCGCTCACCTGCCAGCTGTCTTCGCAGTAGCAGCGCAGACTGCAGCTCCGTCATCCTCCCCGCCAAGAGCCCGGGCTACCGCCGGGGCTTCGACGAACTGGGGACAAGCTCTGACGGCGGCTGGAGCTAGGTGTGTGGAGGAACCCGGGCCCCGCGACTGGAGCGCCGAAGCCGCGGGAGGCCGGTCTGGGGCACCCCGAGAAGCACCTCGCTGCCGATGCGAGTCCGCTCCGCTCCGCTTTCCTCTCAGCGCCTCACGCCCGGAAGGGGAGGGTACCCCGGCCGCCGCGGCGCGCACTGGGACTTCGCTCGTCCGCTTCCCTCCTCAGCCCGCCCGTCGGCCCCACCGGTGCCTTCCCCCGCCACTGCCTCACTGCGCGCAGGGCCGCTCCGCGCAAGCGCGCTGAGCCTGCCTACTTCAGAAGCCGCACGCCTGCTAGCCCGACCCCTCGGCCCCGCTGCCCCGCCTCCGGCGGCGGGACCACGCCCACCGCGCGCTGTGGGCCCGGCACGGCCATCTTGGGAAGGTCCACGCCCGCCTGGCTGCAGAAGCCTTGGCTGGTAGACGCCCCACGGACGCCATGACAAAGAGGTCGCGGAGGGTCAGGACGCTGCCCGCCGATGTAAGCTGGAGATCTGAAAGTTGATGGGACCCGAAGGGGCAGATACTGAGTTGTTAGAGAGCACCCAGCAGCCATCTAACACTTCAGTACGAGGTGTGCGAGTTAGTCATTGTTACAAAGCCGAATTTAGTACTGGTGTGTCCCATTTTAAGCATGGTGATAATTCATAAAGAATACACAGAATGATCCCTGAAATAAAATGTTCTGAATCTCACAGACTAAACAATTAGTAAGACTGAGAAAGTGCGGAGTTGTGATTAGCACGATCTGATACACGGTTGTTTGGGTGGGTGGTTTACGCCTGTAATCCCAACACTGAAGCTGAGGCAGGGGGATTGGGAGAAGACTCTGCCTTCATACATAGTGATGTATGAAGTCTCTGCCTGGGGATGGAATCCATAATAGATAAAAGTGTCCAGAAAAGCACCTACAATGTAAAGTCCTAGTGTGAAACCCAAGGATAGAATAAATAAACCTTATCCAGCAATAAATACCCTTCTCCATTTCAAATTTTGTGCTATTGAACCATAGTAATAAAGAGATGAGAAACGGGAAGGAAAAAAACAATGATAGTCAGTTTTGTTTGTTCTTTCAGTAAGTGTTTACTCAATCCTTAGTTCCGTGTACCTGGACTATAGAAAACAAAAACTCTGCATAGGAAATCAATTACATTCCTACCCACAAAGTTCTGCAGCTTCTGTGAGCTGCAGTAAAGTGAACAAGAGGAGCGGATTTCAACAGGTTTGTTACAAAAATTAATGCACTAGCAGGCGTAAGACCCTGGGTTACCTGCCTAGCACTGTCCTGTCAGACCAAAGGATCAAATAAGCATAGAGTGAATACCGCCACCAACTTAACAGACTAAGCCAATTTGGTGATTTCTGGTTTTTGCTTGGTTTTGGTTTGGTTTTTTGAGACAGGATGTCTGTGTAGCCCTGGATGTCCTGTAACTACTCTGCAGACAGACTGTCCTCAAACCCAGAGAACCACTTCCCTCTATAAGGCATGCACCTCCACACCTTCCTGTGATTTTGTTTTTAAGGATTTTTTTTGTTTGTTTGTTTTAATGTCTATATGTATGAGCCTGTGTGAGTTTATGTGCACTGTATATGTGCCTGGTGCCCTATACTCAAAAGAGGGCATCAGATTCTTTGCAACTGGAGTTACAGAGGATTGTAAGCACTATATGGATGCTGGAAACCATCCTGTCCTCTGTGTCCTCTGCAAGAACAGCAAGTGTTCTTAATCCTTAATGATCTCTCCAGCCCCTGTAGTTTTGTTTTTAAATATATTCATTATACTGAGCAATGAGTTTCATTATGACATTTTTGTACATGTACTTTGCTCACGTTCACATATATTCTTACTTACCTTGTCCCACATCCCTCTCCCACTGGTTCCCTTCCTCTTCCAAAATGGTTCTAATCTACTTTCAGTTCTTACTGAAATCTAGATTCTGTATATGAGACAGAAAACAATTGTCTTTTTAAGCGTGGCTTATTTCATTTCTCATGATGCTGTCTCTATAGGTCCTTTCATTTTCTTTCACATAACTTTTCTAATGATGTATTTGTTTTTATTTATATGCATGTGTGAGTGCCTTCTCAGAAGTGTGTGCACCATGTGTGTGCACTGCCTCTGGAAATCAGAAAAAGATTCCGTAGAATGGAGTTACAGACAATTTCAAGCTGCCTTGTACGTTCTGTGAACCAAACCCAGATCCTTTGCAAGAGCAGCAAGTGCTCAACCATTGAGCCATCTTTCCAAGCCCTTTATGTTTAGGTTTGTTTTTGGTTTGTGTGTTTCTTTGTTTGCTTTGAGACAAGGTCTCTACATAGCCCTGAATGTCCTTGAACTCACTCTATAGACCATACTGGCCTCAAATTCACAGAAAGTCTACAGCCTCAGTCTCCTGAGTGCTGATGTTAAAAGGTGTGCTGTCGAGCTGGAGCCTGTCTCTAGGTTCATTTTTGGTTTTTGTTTTGGAAACTTCTCAACTGACTTCCTCGGGGATTGTACTAATTGACATTCCCACAGTGTAAGGATTCTAACCCATTCACCCTTCTTCAGTCAGCATTTGTTTTTGTGTGTATGTGTGTGTGTGTGTGTGTGTGTGTGGTCTCACATGCTTGCTAATTCCTATATTCCACAGTGTATTTGTAAAGGTCAGAGAACAAGTTGGAGGAGTCAGTTTTTTTTTTTTTTTTTTTTTTTTTTTCCCACCTTGTAGGTTCCAGAGATGGAACTCAGGTAGTCCAGTATATTGTAAGTTCTTTTACCCACTGAGCCATCTCACCCCATTGTTGTTTCCTTAAGAATACTTATTTTACTAGGGAGAGATGGACTTTCATGTTTTGATTTGTATTGCCCTGACAGCTTAAGACAGTGAACAATTTTTTTTTATATCTACTGGCTATTTGTACTCCTTTTGAAAACTGTATTTCATTTTGCCATTTCATTTATTGATTGGATGATTTTTCTTGGGTTTAGAGTTTTTTTTTTTTTTTAGTTCTTTATAGATTCTAACTAGTAATTACCTATGAAATGTAGATCCTGATTCTATATGTTTTCTCTTCCCTTGTTAATTGTTTCCACTGCCATCTTAAATTTGTGTGATACCATTTGTCAACTTGTACTATTTCCCAGACTATTAGAATCCTTTTGGAAAGCCATTGCCTGTTCCTGTATTTCAAAATATGTTCAGAGACTCAGACCTTACATTTAGGTCTTTGAAAATATATAAATAAAATTCATAAAAATAAAATAAAGGGCATGGCATAGCTGCTCATGCCTTGACCTCTAGCATTCAGAAGGTAAAGGCAGGTGTATGTCTTTGAGTTCGAGGTCATCATAGTGCATAGGGAGTTCCAGGCCAGCCAAACTACTTAGTAAACCCTGTCTCAGAAAGAAATAATAATAATGATGATTTCTAAATTAAAGTCTTTGGTCCATTTTGAATACACTTTAGTTACAGAGTGAGAGACAGACTCTAGTTCCATTTCTCTACCTATGGAGAACAACTTTTCCCAGCACCACTTGTTTTCTTTTTTTTTTTAAATTATTTTTATTTCATGTGCATTGGTGTTATTGCTTGCATGTATATCGGCATGAAGGTGTTGGATTCCTTGGAATGGGAGTTACAGACAGTTGTGAGCTGTCATGTGGGTGCTGGGGATTGAACCAGGGTCCTCTGGAAGAACAGCCAGTGCTCTTAACCTCTGAGCCATCTCCCCAGCTCCCCACTTGTTTTCTATAGTGTGTGGTTTTGATACCCTTGTCAAAAATCAGATATCTATATTTGGATGGATTTATTTCAAGGTCTTCTAGTCTGTTCCACTGGTCTGCATGTCTATTTTCATTTATTTCACGTGAGTGCGTGTTTTGTCTATGTTTGTCTGTGTGCCTCCATTATTTTGCTGGAGCACATTGAATTCTGATGAGGATATGCAGCTGAAACTTATAAATACTTAAGCATATGAAATGTTTTTCTTTATTTGTGTTATGGATTGAACCCAGGGCCTCCCCTGTGATAGGCAAGTGCTCTACCTCAGGGCTACATCCCAGTTCCTATTTTAAAACACCTGGAAATAATGCCAACTTAGCTGGGTATAAAATTTTATGTTTAGGGCTGGAAAGATGGTTCAGTATATAAGAGCACTGGCTGTTCTTCTGGAGGACCCAGGGTTGAGTTCCAGTACCCACATGAAGGTTTGTAACTGTCTATAACTCCACTTCCAGGGAATCCAACACCCTCTTCTTGCCAGGCATACATATGGTACACATACATACATACAGGCAAAACACTGATAACACTTAATATATTTTATTAACCAGGTGGTGGTCATGTCCCAGCACTCTGGTCTACAGAACAAGTTCCAGGACAGGGTCCCAAGCTACACAGAGAAAAAAATAAATAAATAAGTAGATAAATAAATAAAATTAATTTAAAAGTTTATTGATTTGTGGGATTTTCAAGATGGCTTCTCTGTATAGAACTGTCCTGGAACTCAGATATCCATCTGCCTCTGCCTCCGAAGTGCTTGGGATTAGAGGAGTGTCTGACCACCACCTGGCAATAAATAATTTTTTAAAAGTCAGTATTTATTCAGAATGAAAATCAATACAAATAACTGTAGACTTGAAGAACAACAAATCCCTTTCTGTGATAATTCTTTGAACTCATTATCAGAAATGTTGCCAGCTACAGACTGTCTTCTCTCACTGAAAACAAAAGGGGAAGAGGTCCTAGAAGATGTTAGTTCTTCTGTAAGTTCATTTCACAAAAAAAATTCTAAACAGCATGGTGGTACATACCTGTGACCCCAGCACTTGGGAAGTACAAACGGGAGGATCAGTAATCCAAAGTCATCCTCAGTAACATACAAAGTGAGTTTGAGACCAGGCTGGACCATCTGAAAGCCTGTCTCAAAGGACTAAAAATAAAAGTCTTTCCTAGACCAAAATATTCCTTTTAAAATACCTTTTGTTTGCCAGGGTAGAGCTAAGAAGATGGCTCAGTGGTTAAGAACGCTTGCTGCTCTTACTGAGGACCCAAGTTTCATTCCCATTACCCACATGGCAGCTCCAGTTCCATGGGATCCGACCTTTTCTGACTTCTGTGCCAGGCAAGCACATGGTCCCCATATGTACATACAGGAAAATCAGTCATATACATGAAATAATTCTTTTTTTAGGGCTACACAGAGAAACCCTGTCTAGAAAAAAAATATTTTTTAAATATTTAAGTA